ACAAAATAATTTTTTTAGAATTGATAAAGTTTTGACGTGAGCTCTCTGTTGTACATTGATCCCTATTTAAACAAAAATAAAGCCTAACAATTAATTGACATATGATATCACACTGGCCATACAAATAAATCTGTTAATAACATACTAATTATATTTCCATATAAGCTTTATCTCATCCAATGCATTTGGACTCAAATCTGTTATGATGTAGTATTTCAAATGACCAACTGATCTGATTGTATTGTTAATTCATGCTTGATCTTCTTATCTTGTTGGCCTAACTTTTGGTTTGAATTTGTTGACCTCAAGTCTCCTTGATCTCTCAAACTCTCTCCACTGATTTTGGAATTATTGTGAGAATACCCAACCTTATCACTCTAAAAGTTTTGGGTTTCCTTATATCTCCTTTGATTCTCATTATTCCTTTTGTTGAGCTACAAAATATTGTTACTATCCACCCTCAAACTGTGTTGGGGTCGAAGGCACAGTTTGGTCCGAAAATAATTGAGAGATGCTTTGGACATCGGTTTAGTAAAAAGGTCAGCAACCTGTTCACCAGTAGAGATATGTTGAGTGATAAGTTGACCAAGGGCAATGCGTTCTCGCACAAAATGATAGTCCAATTCAATGTGTTTACTGCATGCATGAAAAACAAGGTTGAGAGTCATATGTAGAGCACTGAGATTGTCACAGTATAAAACTAGAGGAAAGGACAATGTAATTCGAAGATCTTTTAAAATAAAGCTCAACCACGTCAATTTGATAGCAGTATTTGCCATGGCCCGATACTCAGCTTCGGTACTTGAATGAAAGATAGTATGTTGTTTCTTTGCACACCATGAGATGAGATTTTCCAAGTGCAATAATCAGTGGTGGACCTTGTTGTAGTAGGACAACTTGCCCAATGTGCATTTGAAAAAGCACATAGATCAAGTGTAGTATTAGAAGTAAAATGTAATCCCAAATGAATAGTTCCTTTAACATATCGAAGAATACGTCTTTTCATTTTCATGTGAACTACAGTGGGTGGATGCATAAATTGAGATATATAATTTACACTAAAAGTAAGGTCTAGGCGAGTAAGTGTAACATACTGCAAGACTCCAACAATTCCTCTGAAATAACTTGGGTCTTCCAAAGGTGTATCCTTAAAGAGAATATTTCGTTTTTTATTCTAAATGTGTACTCATGGGCTTACAGTAAACCATGTTTGTTTTTTCAAGAATGCTAAGAGCATAATGGGACTCCGAGAGGTGAATACCATCAAGCAGTGGCAGATCCAGCACCCAGCCAGGGGGTGGCGACCGCCCATGCTGGGCATCGTCGAAGTAGTTTTTGGGAAGAAGTGGCGACTGGGCGAGGCGCCATCATCTTCCTTCCATCGGGACTGGTAGTCTGGTTCGTCTT